TAAAAGATCCTATTTTCTGTTTTAAAGTTACTAAATCAGAAATTAAATAAATATATGCAGAAAAATTAGATAAATATCTACCAGTAAGCGACTATATATACTTTATAGAATTTATACGTTGTTTTTTTGAAATAAACATGTCGCTTATCTGAAATCGAACCTCAGATCATTAATTCTGAAACTCTATTAATGCCTTTTTGATCTTGTTTTAGTTTTTAGTAAATCTATCAATTTTATTATTAGATTAAAAAACCAAAATCATATAAGGAACTAACTGATAAAATTGCATTCGAAGGTTTGAAAAAAATATACTCAAATTCAATTTCAAAGCTAAAAAAAGGTTATTCGAATAATAAACAAAATAATTCGAACTTCATATTGACCATTAACCTTGCATATATAAATCTAGTGTTGTTTGTCTTTTTTTTTGCAATACTATCCCTTACAACATCTTTTTTAAAACTACTTAACTTTTGAATAAAAGATCCATCTATACTAAATCTATTCTCTTGATTAATAAAACAAAGGATATTATTGATATTTGTAATGACCTCTTTATAAGAAATATGAACTTCAGGCTCCTTATCTTCATCTTCATCACAATCACGATCGAGCACAGTATTAATTATTTCAGCATCACTTGGCATAATATCCGTTTCAACACTATTATCAATATTAATAAAATCATTTGCCTGCATTGGACTAGTTATAGGAAGCTAATTAATTAGAGACTGAATTTCTGTTACAAAATCAGTAGGATTGAGGTTGGCAGCTTCTAATTGCGGTCTTGGTAAGGTAAGATCGATAAGCTCATAATCCTCTGGTTCTCAAGAGGTCAAAGAAAAATAGTTACTAGGAAGAATTTCAGTTTTAATCCAACAATTACGAATTGTATCAGCAGTAACCCATTTCTATGCTTTAGCAGAAAGATCATTAGCATCTTTAATATTAAACACTGGTGCATCTTCACCAGATTCTATTGTTTCCTCATAGGCTATGATACGGTTTTCACAAAAAAGTTTATGGTAATGTGTTTTAAAACTCCAAATGATACCAGCTTCACAGGATTGTAAGTAGGCTGTAGTATTAGAAGGAAAATAGTAAATTTTAATATTAGATGGAACGAATCCTTCTTCAAGAGAGTGTGGTGAAGCTTGATCCATTAATAAAAGAATTTTTCTCCCAGCTCGTCTCATTTGTTCATTAAGTTTTTTGATATAATGATTGAAAATTGAGAGTTGCATCCAGGCAGAAGAGTTCCAGTAATAATAGACAGGTAATTTTGACTTGTCAATATGTCGAATAGCATGAGGGTTTTGGTATTTGTAAATAAGTAGGGGAGGTAATTTGTTATCGCCAGTACAATTACATGTAATTAAAATCGTAATTCGATCCTTTGCTTTTTTTTTTTCACGAACAGGACTACTTGCAAGAGTTTTTTCTAGTTTGAGACGCCAGTATAAACCTGTTTCATCACAATTATATATATCCCAAGGATGATAATTTTTGATAACATCTTTAAGTTTATCATGATAATGTGAAAGATCATTAATCGGTGCACTAGCCCCTTCTTCTTGCTTCATATACTCTTTAATGTGAAACCTTTTTTTAAAATTGGCGAGCCACCCTTCTGACCCCTCAAAATTATCAATATGCAGCTGTTCTGCGAATTGGAATGCTTTACGTTGAATAATTGCACCCGTAATTGTTTGATGGTGTGCTTCAGCTTTTAAAATCCACAGGCTTAGTATTTCTTCAAGTTGAGGATACTTAGCTGAACGATCTCGTTTAGATTTTGCTTTCTTTGAGTTAGAATCAATTGAAAGCCAATAATTTTGTTGTTTAAGTATTTTTGAGACCGTTGATTCACCAATATTGAACTTATTTGCAAGTTCAAGCTGAGTAAAATTACTTTTCCGCAATTGACAAATTTCAGCCTTCTGAGCCTTTGTTAATGTGACTCATCTCATTTTTACGGTTTTAGTTGCTTGTCCACTTGCTTTATTGGTATCTTTATCATTTAATGTTCTTTTTTTAGAGGCTAAAGCTTGGGCCGTCATATCACTATTTGCTGGTAATCTACTGACTAAAGACCCACCAATTGATAACTCACTATCTAATGATTCATCAACCAAAGACCCACTAAATTCTGTCATTGTTATGCCGGTTTTGATTCAAACTAGTAAATATAAAAAAAAAAAAAAAAAAAGGTAAACCAATTTATTTTTATGAGTTCTATGCGAAAAAAAATTTACTTAAAGCTTATTCAAAAACGTTTACTGTAATTGAAGGTTTTAAGAAATAAAAAAAAAACTTTAAACAAGAAAAAAAATTAAGGGCAGTTATTAGGTAAAATAATGTTTTTTTTTTAAAAAAAAAAAGATCTCAAGTCTTCTAACAATTTTTTTGAGACAATTGTACACATAAGATCGACCTAGCTCAACTTAAAACCACCTAGCTCAACTCAAAACTAGCTCTTTCAGAGCTCTACTCTTTTCTGATTCTTCAACTAAGTCAATGTAAGTTTAAAACATTTTTAACGTTAATTTTTTTTTTAATTGATCTTGCACGTTGATCCTGAATTTTGATTGGCCTATAATCACGTGCATCACGTGGCTTCTTATATCGTGACTAATTTAATTAAGAAGGGGTAGCCCTAAACTTTCTTATATACTATATCAAGAGCTTCTTAATAAACTTTCTTATATCAAGTGAAATTTATTAAGTTTAAATTGGGACCAGGCAAAAACTTTCTTATAAGCCAACTTTCTTATATAAAGGGTTTCTTATCTCGAGAGTCACTTGTATAGTATTAAAGTAGCACATATGATAGAGCGAAACCATGCATTTTCGATTATAAAATTATTTTATATCGTTCTCTTTTCTTAGTGATCTTTACTTTGTATGCACGTGGTATTTACTATGTTAAATCTTTATATTAATACTACTATAAATTCAATAGAAGCATTTAATAATGCTTAATTTTAACTTACTTTACTGCAAATCAATAGTCATTTTCTTAACTTTTATGCTTTTAAAAATATATTACACTTAAAAATAACATCAGAAGTTAGATTCATAGAATCTTAGAATATTTAAATAACAATCTTTACATGTACAAGTCAAGTGATTAATGCGTATAAATGTTTGAAAAATATTAAATAATTATAAATAAGTATTTATTTATACTCTGTTTTGCTTTAACCCCACTTATTTATAACCGATCTTAATATTTATAGCTAGGGTTGGCAATGGAGCTCATTGGAGCTCAAGGGAGTTGCGAATAGAGCCAATAGAGCTCTAAATGGAGCTAATAGATACTAGTTTTTTGAGCTCCATTCACATAACCATTTAACTCCAATGGCTCCACTGCCACCCTGCTTATGGCTAATTTGAATGATTAGAAGATGTTTCATAATAGTAATGAATATTTGGTCAGTGTTATCAGAACGGGATAGAAATAGAAAAAAATAAAGATTTGGCATTTGAATGGTATTTAAAGTCTGCTATTACTGAGCATAAATGTGATTATGATAATAACTATTACCGATGGATAGAATATGATAATTTTAGAAACATTGATGAAATAGATAAAGGTAGATTTTCCATAGTATATTAAATATCATATGAAACAGATAAAGAAGTTGCAATCAAGATAATAAAAGATTCACATAAGAATAAATGACTTTTTTTAAATGATGTATTTTTTTTTTTTGCACATAAATTTATTATTGTTTATTTATTCTCTTGGTTGTAAATATAATTTTCTGATTTTAATTTTACAGATTACTAATAATTTATATATACAAGCTAACTGAAGTAATTATTGCGATTTGTAATCACTAATTTCTGATTACTGATTCCCGATTTCTTCAACATTGTTTTTGATTTTTAGACTTAACAAAATTTGTGCATTTATTATTTGTAAAAATTTGATTGAATATTTTAATTTGCAACTCCTATTTCTGCAAATATATTACAAAATAATGAGTATGCAACTTTTATTTTCATAAAAATAATAAAATTTCTACAAAATAATAACTATACAAATTTTGTCTAATCTAAAGGTCAAAAATATGTTGAAGAAATCAGAAATCAGTAATCAGAAATCATGATTACTTTTCTTTTTAATGATCAAATTTCATATAATTGTGCAAACTGCAATAATACAGATAAATAATTTGAAGGCAATAGTAAGGATTTATGTTCTTGCATTTGTATAAACTTGAATTTGCTGCTTTTAATTCGCTAACAATCGATCTTTATATTTCAGTAATTATCGTTATTGTTATAAAAAAAAACAAATAACACCCCCGATCTTGCAAGATTATCATTCACAGAATTTTTTTTTAGAATGATCAATGGTAAATAAAATTTATGTTTTGGGGTTGTGAACTTGATTTGCTGCTTTTAACTTCATCTAATAATAACTAATTAACTGATCTTTATACTTGTAGGCTAAATAAAATGATAAATGTGATTTACGATTTAAAGGTGTTGTATAATAGTAATTAAGTATTTATGCTCTTGGTTTATGAACTTGATTTTCTGATTTAATTCTGCTAATTAATAGTAACTGATTTAATTCCATAAATTAATAATACTTGCAAGCTGACTGAAGTAATTATTGCGATTTGCAAAATTATGTGAAATTTGATTATTAAAAAAAAAGTAATCACTGATTTCCAATTACTGATTTCTGATTTCTTCAACATTTTTTTTGACTTTTAGATTTGAAATTTGTGCATTTATTATTTGTAAAAATTTGATTGAATATTTTAATTTGCAACTCCTATTTCTGCAAATATATTACAAAATGATGAGTATGCAAATTTTATTTCTATAAAAGTAATAAAATTTTTACAAAATAATAACTGCACAACTTTTGTCTAATCTAAAAGTCAAAAATGTTGAAGAAATTAGAAATCAGTAATCAGAAATCGTGATTACTTTTTTTTTTAATGATCAAATTTCACATAATTTCGCAAATCGCAATAATATAAATGATAATTTGGAGGGTGTTATATAATGGTAATAAGGATTTAAGTTCTTGGTTTTGTGTATTTGATTTGCTGTTTTTAACTTTATCTAATAATAACTGATCTTTATTCTTGCAGACTGAATACGAATCAACCAATTTAAAGATGTAATATAATGATAATTAAGTATTTATGCTCTTGGTTTGTTAACTTAATTCTATATTAATACTGATTTTTATACTTGCAAGCTAACCGAAGTGATTAATGTGAATGAATTGAAGGGTATTATATAATGGTAAGTAAGGATTTATGTTCTTTGTTGTGAACTTGATTTGCTTTAACTCCGTCTAGATGAATGGAATAATTAATGCGAACAATTTGAATAGAATTATGGATATTAGTTAAATTAGAATTAATGTTTTTATTTATACAGTAATAAAGATAAAATTGATTATGAACATATTAAATTAAAATAATATAATAAATAAAGTTTTTTTTTGTATAAATTTTATTATTGAAATATATATATAGTATTTTATACAATACAAATTTTAAATATAGGAGTAAATTAAACTAGTGGGTAGATTATTTCTAAACTATATAGCAAGTAAATTAAGTAGTTGGCTCTTGATCAGCAGGTGGATTCGCTTAATTAGTAGATGGGTGGCCTTAATCAATGGATGGGTTGATAGTTAGTTCTATCTCTAATTTGTTTTTTATATGAATTTAAATGGTTCTAACATAGATTTTGAGAATTATAAATCACTAGATCATAGCTATCATCGAAAACTGGACCACAACTAGTATGCATATTGTGGGTTTTTTTATATGACTTAAAATAGAATTTTGAATCATATCACTTTTCAACGAAAAAATAAAGCTATTATTACAATTCCAAAATACCTTTTTATCATTAATTAGTTTATTACATCTAATAGGATTATATTCTCCAAGAATCTTGTTAGTACTTTTGACCTTCACAATTATAACAATATTTATTTTTTTATTGCATAAATTCCATATAGCTTATCTGTTATAGAATATTCTTTTTTATCAATCCATAAAGTAATTTCAATTGCATATGCTTCATTAATAATTACTGAAAATGGCTCTGTTATTCTGGATAGTAATGCTTGTTTTAAAATCATTCAAGGTGGAAGAATTACTAATGATATTGGTCGATTTGGAGATAAAGATCTTTTAAAAATATTTTTCCATAAATTTTTATTCAGTGTTTGTTGATACGGATATAAATTATTGATAATATCATCTTCAGATATTTAGAAATAATGGATATGAGTTAAACAATTTTGCAAAATAATTTTAATAATTAAAAAATTTTCATTAGACCAATTTTTAGGATCAGATGGCAAGCCTGGATTTTGAGCAATTTTCCATTTAATTGGTAGAGTTGTTAATGGAGTACTCCAGACTATAATAAAACATATAACCCACTCCAGAGCACTCCAGAATGGGTTATATGTTTTATTATAGTCTAAAGTACTCTATTAATAACTCTAGTAGTTGGCTCTTAATTAGTGGGCAAGTTGGTGTTGATTTTTAATTATAAAGGAGCTCGGTGGTTCTTAATAGTAGGTAGGTATAGTAGTTCTTGATTAATGCAGTAATGTGTAAGTGAGTTAAGTGGTAGTTCTTGATTAGTGAGTAGATTAAGTGGTGGATCTGAATAGCAGGTAAATCTCAGAATTCACTATGTATAACGAATGTATAATGAACGTATAATGAAAGTTTATTATAACTGATAACAGTACTATGTATACATATAAAAAAATCTGTACATTTACAAATTAGGGTTTTTACTAATTAAATTGCATTAATTTTACTTAATGATTGCAGATCATTTTATTTGGTTGACTCATGGATTATCAATTAAATTATTTAATATTTTTTATAAGATTTGAAAATATTTAAATATATTCGAATATTTTTAAAATTAATTAAATATTATTTAATATCTAAATATTTTGTAATTTATTTGAATATATTCAAAAAATTTAGACTAAATTAAAATTTATTAAATAAATATTATTTTAGTTTATGGAAAAGCACAGATTATTACAAAGTTTTTTAATAAATAAAATTAAAAATGCTAAGTTTTTTATATTTAAAATCAATTAATAGCAAAGCTAATTCTGAAGAAGCTTTAGACTAAAAGT